CAAACCTTGGATACACCTACAGTCCACCATCTGGCCACAGTTATCATACATCTTTTACCAAATCATTCCTGGCCGGAAGTTACAATTTTCGACCTGATGAAGTTGAAGTGTTTTACGAAACTACTTAACACAGATCTGTTGAATCAAGTCTCATGAAAATTTCGCTCAGGATTATGAAAACTAAAAATCGTTAATGCAGTCAATTAAATTGACATATAATTTGCATGTTTCTTTTGTAGACTCCTCATCACTTTAAAAGCTTATAAAGTAGTGTAGATTTAGAATAAACAGCATGAAAAGTACACAAGTAATAAAAGAGTTCAAAAAAGTTCCTATCAAAGGGTTTGTATGTATTGGGGAAAATTAAGGTGTTTATCGTTTTTCCTTCCGCTCCCTGAATCAGTCGATCGTCACATGATTCACTTATGCGCGCGCATGACCCGCTGGATTTCAGTAACTGGCACAGCACCGGAGACACTTTTTTTCCTTCAGGTGTTTGTGCATTTTTCATTTATGCAATTTAGCAGAAAGATTTGCCCATTAATGTGACCAAAGTTCGAGATCGATTGCCCTGGAAATTCTTCATTCATTGATTACATTTCAAAGTAATTTCTTTAAATTAAAAAAAAAAAACATTTGCACGACACACGGAACGTCTCCTGATGAAATCCTGATTGTTTGTTTCTCCTGGAGAAATATAAAATTGGCTTGAGTTGTTGGAAGGCTCGAAAATTCAGGAATAAACCTAAAGTGTTCGACTGGCGATGGAAATTCGAGGCTAAGTGGCTTCGGGACATCAGCAGTTTCGAGGACCGTGTCACTAGTATGACCGCGACACCATGACTACGGTCGCTTTCGTAATGAATGGTTCGGAGAAATCTGGCACTAGTTCGCGCACAGGTGTGGCATTCGGGAAATTTTTAGTTTTGACATTCTTTTCTTTTTTTAATAATTGAAACAAAATTTATTTCATTGTGAGTCAGCGATTTATGTTCAAATAATCCGTAATGTTGTCCCAGGCTTTAGGCATATAAGAACCAAGTTTAATGATCTCTTCAACTTCGATTCTCCGCTTTACAGTCACTTTATTTCTAGAGATGTTTTTGAGCACTGTGTAAACTGGAGCAAAGGACCATGACTACAACCGTAAGAGTGCGTATAGTCAACGATAAGTGAAGAGTAATGAAAATTCGAACTCTCGTACCTGAACATCATTGTTTCCTGCTTCGTTCCGGAGAACTTGAATGCAATTTTATCAACTTTTTGCTATCAGATACCAACGCTTAGAAACAAGGAGAGTTTAACAACTCAAATGAAGTGTTCTCGCTTTCTTGGTATGCGCGGGTAACTTTGTTCGTACATAGATAATAAGGAATGTGAATATTTGTAGCTTAGAGACCGCGACTTCCCGAGCAAAAGGCTCTTTTTCGAGGGCGGGAAAGACATTTTTTTTCAATGCAAATTGTCAACCTATGCAGGTTCGCTGCGAACGTTTTTCACAGAACCCATCGAAAAGTGTCTAGGTCGCTTGCGATGCCCGTGAAATTTGGCCTAATTATGTAGTCCAAATTAGTCAAGGTGTTGGTTGTTTGCTTCAGATTTCAGTATGAGGTTAATGAGTTCGTTGTAATTGGAAATGTGTTAAAGAGGGGTTCCGCAAGGAAGTGTTTTTGGTCCTGTGTTTTTGAATATATTCATTAACGACTTGTTTTACTCGGTTACGCAAGGTAAACTTCACGCTTATAAGGACGATCATCAGCTATACTCTTCTGATGTCGACCCAGTAGCTCTAGAGAACTGTATTTTTCGTGAAGTGAGAGTTGCAAATAAGCGGTATCGCAGCAATGGAATGATTGTAAATGAGACAAAATACAGGCCACTCCTTCTCTTTTCCATTAAAAGATTCTTTGGATGTATTTGAAATAAATATTGACAATAGGTTACGTTTTGATAAATATATATCAAGTATTTGTAAGAAGATAAATGGCCAGTTCAATGTAATGCTTAGATTTCGTAAACTTATCTCTAAAGATACTCTACTAAGATTCTATATGGCACTTTTGTGGTGAGCGTAGTACTGAGAAGATAGATACTTTAAAGAAACGAATTCTTAGATTTATCTTGCAGGATTATAATTCTCCATATGACTCTCTACTTAGCAAAGTTAACTCCAAATCTCTGTATAAAATACGCCTTCAGAATTTCTTAATTATATTGTACAAAGAGCTTGTTTTTTACCTGCTATCCAGGCTATCTAAGGAATATGTTTAGTTTCCGGTCTGTATCCTACAGTCTACGCGGAAATTATATTTTGTCTCTACCGTCTACAAAAACTACTACTTATGGTCTTCACTCCTTTTCATATATGGCTTCAAAACTATGGAACTCTCTTCCGGACTCTTTTAGAACGTCTGACTTTTCTGATTTCAAGCGCAAGATTCTACAGTATGACTCTTTCTCATAGTTAAATTTTAGAATGTTACAATTTTACATTTTACATTTTA